CAGTCCATTTAGAAATCGCAGTAGAATAGACCTTGAACAGCCATAATATTATTTTGAGCAAGAAATTTGCTTCCGAATCACACACAGAATACCTTCATAATATAGAACAAATATTGATCATGACTAAGATGTTCAGTTCAGCTTGAAAGTTTTTAATTGAAGCATAATCCGAGTAAAATTAATTACCGAATGAAATTACTAAATTAAATACTGTCCAAATGTGAAAAAATGATTATTTTTGGATCATAAAATTGGATGAACTATTTCTTATTCTAATAATGAATTTTATAAGATAAGCTCTATCAATTAAAACAAAAATTGTGGAAATTCTCATTTTACTATAAAATCTATGTCATAATGTTCAAAATAAATATAAAAGTAAATTTTAAACTTTTTAATTGATCTTCAATGTACAAATGGATAATAAAACCAAAAAGTTTAAACAGTAGTTTGGGTCTAGATGTTACTTATCTATTAAAAAGACAAGTTTTAAATTCACTTGGTATTGTTTGTTTGAATCTTCCTATCGATGTTTAGGACCGCAACTAGTTAGTCTATTATTGGCATATGTGCATACTGTGCGTATTGCCTTAACTCACAAGCATGGTTAGCAGAGATGGATAGTGGCTAGCAGTGGAATCCAGTTTGACGTGCGTTTCGTCCTATTTGGAACTCGTCAGCAGGACGTACCTGCATCTCAAAGTTGATGTTCACTCTGGGACTCGAACCTAGTACCTTTCGCTTCACACGTCATCGGGTTATCCACTCAGCTACTGAGTCCTGATACCCACTTGCCAGAGTGAACTTCAACTCCGAGATTCAGGTACATCCAGCTGACGAGTCCCAAATAGGACGAAACGCGCGTCCTGGATTCCACTGCTAGCCACTATCCATCTTTGCTTATAAGACAATTTTTTCTTTATAATTGTTAGTTGTAACCAACATACAATGTGATTTAGCTTCAAATAATATTGAATCAATATCTAAACTTTCGAGTAAGTTAATTTAAATTTTGTAAAGTATGGTCAAACTACTTGTAAATAAATAAATAGTTTTTCGACTTTTTGTTTCGTATATATTCATTAAAAGTATTGGTTAATTAATGTCAACTTTTTCCAGTTAGATGCATTAAAATTTAACTGTTGATCAGATATTTAGGACGTCAGATCTCTCAGTGTAATTTTCGATGTCGTTTTGAACATTTGTAGAGTCGGTGGTTGATTCATAAATAAATCATCAACTAGCCTCAATTTTCTTTCGTACATCCAGTCAAATCAGTTTTGTTCCGTTATAATGACTAACAAGTGATAACGTTTTCCTGTCATAACAGGGCCGTACCAGTATCCTTATATCAATATTTTACCGAATCAAAAAACCTTATAATACTTTTTTGAATTAGTTTACCATAATCCTTTGGCTTTCAATATACCATGTATTTCAATTTACCAGAAGTGTGAAAGTTTGATAATATTGGTGCTTATTAAGTTGACACCAGCTATGCAGTCGTATGAAAAGGGAAACATCACGAGCTTTCATGACCAGATAGTCGTCATTTTTTAATTGTTTGCTAAGTTCTGGAAAATTGGTTGTGATATTATTGAATTTAACCCGAATTTTCGCATCGATCAATTTAGGTCTGACGAAGTTTGGTTTAAAATAATAAATTTAGTTAATCAAACCTGTGAATTAACTTGTAAGTGAAAGGGAAAAACAACTTTATTACCTTTTTTTGAGAATATGAAATAATCCATTCAGGAACTTCATGAAGAGAATATTCTTACCTCTCCATTTCTTTCATATGTCAACTGTTGTTTAAAACATACACAAACGATGCATAAATGTATCTGTTAACCTGCAACTAATTACTAATGTCTAATCTATACGAGCCATCGATTGATCATCTCCCAGAATGACTTGTTAATCTTATAATGTCTAAGAAGATGACTACGCTATCTGCTGAATAAAACCACTGCGTAGAAGATGCAACAATATGATTCATACAGTGGAAGCTGTTCTGGCGTTCTGGACTCAACGGGTAGAGCTAGGCAGGAGAAAAATCAATAAGGACGCTAGGCTGCTCATACAGGTCAATACGTCATTATTGTGACACAGTATTAAGATTGTATAATTCGTATTCTGATTGGCTACCTCATGACGTGATATTATTAACCAGCCACAAGTCATGACAGAAATTACCGTTAGTAGAACACACAGGTTATGACATACTTTATTTTTCAAACTTGTGAAACAAAACAAAAGAACTAAAATAAATATTAACTATAAACAACGTACATTTGAAATGCATGTATCAACTTGTAACAGCAAACCCGAAAAGGCGACACAAAGCTTATTGGTAATTATTTGTTTACATGACTGAGACATCGGTCATAAGTTCAGTGTATTTTTTTACTCTAAGGATATCATATTGTACTAATCACATAATGTTGAATAAAGCGATTATTACTCTGAATTACTTCTCTTTTGAGTGACTGTTGACTAAACCTGTGCTATGAAAAAGTTATGAATTAGCATTGAAGCTTTGATAACGGTATATTCTGTACAAGAAGAAAGAAATTATAAACTGAAAAAATATTAAAATGTGTATGTTGGTAATATTACTCATTAGGTGTTTATTTGTTTTCGGCTAACAAAAAGGTAACTAGCGTGACTGAATTATTTCCTTTGAAGATGAATTACCGAGGTAATACTATCAGTTAGAGGGAATATACAATACATAGTGTTTAGAATTGTTAGACGTATGAAACATTCGTATTATTCTGTGAGCATTAAAATCAATACAGTTAATGTGTAAAATTAATTGTGAGTGGCATCAAATTATGAACATTTCAGTCAGAAAGAAGTTTGTCCGATTACAAAAGAATAATCGTCCAACTTGGTCGAACTGTTTTAGTGCCCAGTAAACTTTCAAGTAAAAAATATATGACTGGACCCCTTTCATCATACAATGGTCTATGTCAAAGAGGTTTTGTTTTATTCTGAATTTTAGAACTTAATTATCATCAACTTATATTTAAGGCTAATCTTCTGTTTGATCTTCATTCGTTCAGATCACTCAGAATAAACTTGTCCTTGAATCTTCAATAAAAGATTAGTAATCTCCATTTCAGAGTGTAATAATGTTATTTGTAAGCATCAACAAATAAAAAGGTTTCAGCGTCAAATATCGGTACTGTATCTCCCGTACTAAAATATCAATTTTGGGATTTTTAATAAATTCGGTGTCTGTGACTAGTTGAATTGTTTGTTGAATTCGTCAGTAAATATTAATAACCCCACCAAAGATTTACTACTTGACACTTATGATCAAAATGCCGGATATATTTAGAATGAACTTCATGCAACTTTTTAAAAAATAATTATAACGGAAGTTACTAGGAAATACGTTTAACAGCTTCATTAGTTCTCTAATATACTGCGATAAAGACAGCTCAACAAGTTGGCAGGCCACATAATAGATTTCGATCTATTTAGACATTAGTATCTATAAATGAAGGCCGCTGAAGGAAGTGATCGTAATAAAATATACGGAACACAATCAGTTTGGTTTAACGTCTATGAGCCAGTGTGTATTACTTCAATGAATTTCTCAAAATGATGTATATCCAGATACCTAATGTGTCTTAATATCCGCTCGTTAATTAGCATAGGTGTTTCATAACCCTTGATGATTAAAATTATCATTAAAATCAATCGTAAAACAAAGTCCTCGTCAAGAAAACCTTCAAAATTATGAATTCGTTTAGTCATTGTGTTGAAAATCAAGTTTACACAAATAAATTAGGGTTTGTTTTAACATTAATCAAGAGAAATAAAGTGATCTTAATTGCAAAAATATTTAGTAGAAGTAACGCGATCCGTTAGGGAGAGGATGAAACGAAAGAAGACAGTTAGTAAGGGTCTATAATTTCCCGTGATGTCTCTGTTGCCAAATGTGTATTGTAAACGAAAACCTTTGATGTACGGTTAAGTCATAGGTCTTAGTATGTTTGGTTTTCGGCTAGAAGTCATGAATATCAGAAACCGGAAATTAGAAAGTCTCATTAATATTTTTACACCTGTTGAATAAATTAAAGGATATTTAAATTCAGTAGCTCAGTGGATAATGAGTTTGAGTTTGAAGTGATAGGTTTAGGATTTTAGTTTTAGTCTATGTGCGAACACTGGTATGAATGGTACATCCAGGTGACGAGTCCTGAATAATATGGAATCCATACTCTGGTATTAGCTGCTAGCCACATACCAAATTTAGTAAGAGAATCATTTTAAACCAAATTTAATAGTGATTCTTTTCTTCTTTCGAATTATTCACCTACATATCTTATAGTACCTAATCGTAATTTTGATGTTCTAAAAAGCCTTAAAAGTTGTCAGGGCTCTACGATGGTGACGGGACGCAAAAATTTTGAGCGTTACTTTTCTAGAGGAAGGAATAATAAGGTTTGAACAATATTTCTACAAGCACATCTCTGTTTCACAGTTATTTTAGTAGCAATTGTTTGAATAAGTAACTGAATTTTTGTCCGGTTAAGTCTATGCTGATAATTGATTATTTTTAAAAACAGTAATTGTAAGTTAAGTGTGCATCTTTCATTCTACAACACTAAACCCATTTGTTTTAGATACTAAAAAAGTAATTCTTATTTGCTTTTTGCTGGATCGTACCTGTTTTGTGAATTTGACTACATTTTGATTACTTCAAATACTAGTTATTATTTTGAATCATACAATTATTTCCATTGCTATTATTGTAGTAAACATTTGACCCTTGTAAATAGCATAGTAGGAGTTATTTCCGTGAGAATTTTACAGAAAAGCAAGAATTCTTTAGATACATTTTATAGAGTGTTTATTTAAATTCTATTCCAGCCAATGAGACAGCTGAATTCTTAATGACCAATAAGGCTATACATATAGCTGGTATATAAATGTACTCATCCATCGGTTTGGTTTGTTAAATTATTTTAAATAGAACTGTGGGAATGAAGATTTTTGCAGTAAGTTAGATTCGTTATGATTTATACGGCTGAAAACTTGACGTAGTATAATTCTGTTATTCCGCGATATGAATAGTGACTTTGAGATCTATTTATGAACCAATACTGTACATATATTTTTTATCGTATAATCGCTAAATAACTAAACTATTCATATTCGTGTCCCTCTTATTATAAGCTTTATTTCGAACCATGAACTATTACTACATGATTTATCATTCTTGAATTATGCCCTGTCTATTATTTACTATCTTCCCTATTCACAACCACATTTGGCTAAATCTTGTACACATCTTATTTTCTATTTTATGGTACGATGTGGTCGGTTCGATTGGTATATAAACTTAGTATTTTTGAAATATAATGATTCCTACTGCAGAGGTTGTTATTGGTGTTTTGGAATTCACTGCCTGGTCTAGGCAGAAATCAGGACCGACAAATACTCTAGACTGCTCGTACGGTTTCCGTGTATCATTGGTCCGGTCAATAATTTACTGCTCTCTGATTGGCGGTCTTAACACATTATACATTATCAGGGCATCCACCCGGCCACAGGTTGGAGCGATTATACGATAAAAAATATATGTACAGTATTGGTTCATAAATAGATCCCAAAGTTACCATTCATTATCTTTATCGGGGCATAACAAATTCATTATATTTTTCCGAAATATTTTTGTCCATTTTGATAACAATGCAAATCAAGTCAGTGATATAACGTTAATTTATTTGTATACGGTAACAATTAGTTATTGATACAAATTGAAGGGAATTACTCGAAGTCATGAAACGTCAGGAATCGATACTCTACCCAATATGTTACAAATATGTCATTTTTTATCATTCGTAGAATCAAATTGTTTGATCTGTGTCATTTCCTTACTAAATCCGTTTAAATTTTTTCTTAGGTATTTGGTATTATGTTAACTTATTTCTGTGCAGTAACTTTCGGAGCTGAAAGTCTTCATCGATGTAACGAAAAACTTAAGGCAACAATGGAATACTGTTTTCAAAGGAACGGACGTTATTCAAGTGAGTACTGATAACAAATTGTATAGAACTACAATGTCAATACTTATCATCAATTCACAAGGTCTAATAAAGAGCTTATTGTTTTTTCAACGTATTTTTATGCAAGATATTTTAATTTGAAAGTGTCAGCTAAACAATATTGTGCAGGACTACAATCACGTGCTTGGTTCACGTTCAAGTTACTTGTTTCTTATTGTAATAATTTCAGTATGTCAATTAAGAGTTGTCATGCAGTTGGGAGTAAAATACTCCATCTCATTACCCTACAGTGAATATAGAGAGTTTCAAAACTGTTCTACAACATAAAGTTTAATTCTTGATGCATTATTTCTTCTAGCTATATTTTGCATAAAGAACAATCCATGATAGTTTGTAAATGTACTAATGATCATAATATTGAGCGTACTAACACATTTGGTCAATAAGAATCCTCACATTCGCTGCATATGCATGTTACATGCAACTACATTTCTACAAATAAGTCCTTGAAGCAATTATAGATATTATCAATTTTAAAATTAAATTATATTTCATAATTAAGTAAATGAGAATGTTCATCATCATCCACTTCAAGAAAAGTTTAGTGTCACAATACACCATTGGCGTCCCACTGTGATTATCACTATCACAACATTATGTTGTGTAGACGAACGCTTATTAAAAATTATTCGAATTCCTATATTATTGAGATGTTTTTTTTCAGTCTTATCATTGTGTATATGAAGACATGTCGGTTGAAATAATTGTTGATATGTTAATTTAACTGTTCATCAACAAAAAATGTGTTAATTGATCACTTTATAACTTTGTTAGTTTTCCTAAACAGAGTTCTATCGAACTAATCGCTATCATATAAATGGCTTTTTATGCAAGTCAACTAATCTCTGTTTCAGAAGTTTATTTAAGTTACATTTATGTCATGAGTGAAGTTCATTCAATGCAACCATTACTTTAAAGCATGATAAAAACGAACAACAGAATTCACTAGATAAGGATTTGTTATTATTTTGTTCTTTTTATTCGTAGGTCTTTCTTATTTATTCGTACGGTTTATATCATGTCTTTTAAAACATCATTGTATATCTCTTTTTGTTTAGTACCGTTGACGGAGTTAAAGAGATTGAGAGATGCTTGCATGAATGATAGAAATTGCAAAACTAAAGCAAAGGATTGTCTTCTATCAAAACTTAAAAGTTCGGAATTCGGAAACTGTCCTTCAAAAAGGACCTATGTACAATCAATAGATCGTATGTTCAAATAGACTTCTGGTCATCTCTTAGTCCACTATCCAAAGTTGTAATGTACAGATAAATATAGTATTTATTATATTAACTGCGATTTTTCGAAACACCAATTATAGATGATAAATTATATACAATATCTTCACCAAATTTTAGTGGAATAAAGCATGGTTGATTGTTAATCATTTTTAGAAATTTCAGGTTATCTATTTGATACCTTCCTTGAAATAAACGTCTAGAAGACTGACTACTAAACGCCAAACGTTTAACACAAACTTTATGGGACATGTTTGGTGAATCTTTAGTCGGCTCTTCTTTCTGTCCAGCTAGTGTAACTGATTTAACAGTTGTATGTAATTCGATACATGCCGTTGGGAGTATTTTGCGAAGGGCATCCGTCGAACATGACTACATCAGTGCCCATACTGATTCATGTAAGATTATTAACTTAACTGCGAAATTGGTCCCAAATAGTGTGGCACTCCAGATTCTGTTGACTGTCTATACAACATACTTAGTTTTAACAAAGATATAAGTGACATTTAACTCGCAAAAAATAAACATGAATTTTGTGATCCAATGATAATACATACAGGTTAGCAAATGAAGTAAATTCTGATAATGTTACTCAATCAGCGTGTGTCTTCGGTGAATAATTCTGATTTTAGATTTAAGACTGTCAAACATAATAACTCAACCTTTGTGTCTAGTATGCTTTAAACTTTCACTGAGTACTGAAAATTACTTATTTTTTCCACACAATACATTCTACTTAGCGGCAAAAGAGAAACTGGGAATCTGACCAGTTATGCAGTCCTATTATGTAATCCTATACTTATTCAGTTTTCTTAATTTACTTCAAAAATAAGTCAGCGATTTTGTCTGTTGCTGGTACTGTTGGTTGAGTATTCGAAAAAATGGATTTTCGATAAAAATCAAGTGTATTAAATAAACTCTAAAAGTCAAACATCAACGGATGTATCTTTGTATGGTGCTCTTAGTTAAAAAAGTAATAAACTTTAGATACTTGAATAATTTTCTCAAAAACCTAAAAATGCTTTATCTTATGTTGTTTCAGTATTGAAAAGTATTTAGCGTCTAATCAAGATGAGTGAATCACACAAGAGTTAGTTGTGATTGGTAAATTTCCCTAAAACATTATGATAATTGGACTATTTGTCAAGTTAAATTACCGTCAAATTCAATTCACCGTTATACACAATTAAAGCCGGGGTTCCCATAGTTCAGTTACTAATTTTTACTATCAACTAATATATTGAAAGAAGTATAAACTTATCATTTATTAACAAGTGACAACTGAGCCTTTGTGGTGATATACTTGGAAAAATGATCTGTTTTATAACAGGCTACTGAAATTCAAGTAAACTGCAATTGTGTACACATAGTTTCATTTATCATCTTGAGGATTGCATGAACAAAGATTTGAGAACAATAGTATGAATTCATTTTATTTTATTTGGTCCTCATCAGCTGCTTACAACCTGTAACATTAAAAAAATCATAATCAAAAAATCGTTTTAGATTACTTGGATGGAAAAGTTTAGTTAGAATTTACTTTAAAGACTTATTAGTATAGTATAGCAAGGGTATAAATAAATTTAACAGACTGAATAAAATATTGTAAATGTATATCTTATATAAAATGCATTCTACAACATTGATAGTAACAAAGGTCCTAAGGGAGAGAAACAGGTGGTTACGGAAGGAGTAGACAATGATAACTAGAATAAAATTACTCAAGCCCACTTAGTTGATATAAGATTACTAATCCAGAAGGCGGTCGAAATATAAAAAAATGCATTGATGCAATAATTACAAGAAAGAGTTGAACAAAATTTTATGATGTAATGGAGGGACATTTGTCATCAAGGAAAAGAAAGACTAACGACCATCTTCCCTTGATCGTATAAATCAGCTGTATAACACTTGATATCAGTGACCTCGGAAGGCCGGAAACTGGGTGTTTACTAATAACCTTGAAAGATTGTAATGTGTTGGCCTGCTGTCCTGTATCCAAGAAATGTTTAGTTATCGCGCTGTTTAAATTAGTTCTCTTTCTTGTTCGAAAGCTTTTTGGAACATACTCGAAAGACCTAAGATATACCCTTCATTGGGTCAATCAGATAGTTCAACCGTTTTGGCAAGTACAAATAAATTGATAAACAGTTGGAAGTAACATAAAACGGGTGCTTGTAGATCTTTGATTGGGTTGTTGAATATGTTGTCTTATACAGTATAACTAATTTGGCTTCCAGATACGTTCTATCTAATTTGGCGTTAAGCTTCCTGTTGATGGTGCACGGAGCATGATCAAATTTGAAGTTGAGAATTATAGATTCTGCCTTTTATTGACTGTAGTAACACCCGTGTTGTTTTCTCTGGATGTTTTATATTTGTCAGTGAATTTCTGTGAGTAGCAGTTGTACCTTAGGTGTTTTTCTATTTTCACCAATTCTTCTTCCAGTTTGTCAGTAGTACATATCTTTTCCACTACATAAAGCAGTGTTTTGACCAATGCTTTTATTATAACTAATTAGATAAAAAATATTGAAGCCCAGGTAAAAACCATTGCAAGTACTTTTTGATAAACCAGATGTTACACCGTCCTTTCTTCTGTCCATTGCGTTGTAATTTTAAGAAAGTGAAACATGTCATTCTTTTCGTGTTCCATAGTAAATTGTGTGTTGGGACGAGTACTGTTAATGAGTGCTAACAGATGGATTGCATGGTATTTACAGTGGTAGGCAATAAACGTGTCATCGACTTTCTTAGAGTATTTCGTCATTTAGTCAATTGCTTGTTTAAACTCCGTGTTTTCAAGATAATCCATAATTTAATCTAATAGACTTTCCATTGCTACACTATCAGTTTGGTGGTATAGTGTTATCGAACTAGGATTGAATGACTTTTGTGAACATTAGTGAAATTTATTTCAACTCTGACACTGGTGAAACTATGAAATCAGAATTCTGAAAAATCATATCAATAGTCTCAAGAGGTGGTATTTCGATAAACAGGGATATTACATCAAAAGAAACCATGGACGAACTAGTAACGAACTCTTAAGTCAAATGTACTAAACAGTAACTAAATCCAGTTCTTTCCAGTTGCTATTCATCCTTTTCATGTCGGCTTCCTATTCTCGAATCAGTGAGTTCTTTAACCTTCCTCTTTTCCATTTCTCGTCAGGATTCCACGTTAGCGCTCACTTCGTCATACAGTTTGATGATTTCCTCAATATGTGTCTTATCCACTTCCATCGTTTTTTACTAATTTCCTCCTCAGTTGAAAGCTGATTTGTTCTCTCCCATAGTAGGCTGATTAGATAATACAGAAGCTAATAAATTATTTTACATGATTTGATTTGTTCACTGAATGAATAATCGAACACGTAGCAAATATATGAAGATTTGAAATGCCTGAATATCAGTGAACAACAAATATGAGCATAAAACATAAGTAATGAATTTCCAAATTAATGAATCCTTTTTATGTTTTAGAATGTTAGTGATATTTTATATAGTTGGAATCATGAGTCAATTGAGGCTAGACCACCAAGGAAAACCTGAAAGCACTGGACGGCCGTTTCATCCTATTGTGGGACTCCTCAGCAGTGCGCATCCACGATCCCGCCCCGCGATATTCGAACCCAGGACCTACCAGTCTCGCTCCAGAGCACTTAACCGATAGACCACTGAGCCAGCATTCAACGGTGCTAATGACTAAATTTAACCAATCCACGGAATTGAGCTACCGTTCACCAATGTCTTCAGTGAGTTGATATCTCCCAACAGACCTGGTTGAACTCCACTGGTTACTGCTTCTCACTAGCTTCAATTGACCAATGACCTCAACTATATAAGATTACTAAAATCTCCACAAAACCCCTTCTGATTATAATATTGATATGTTTGTCTGATTCTTTCAGCTTAGTTGACCTGGTTAAGGATATTATATTTAAAACAGAATAAATATGATAAACTTAAAAATAACTGATTGAAATATACAAAAGTATGAACTTATTACCTATAATAATAACAATAATAAATGAACCCTTATATAATAATCGAAATAGTTTTTAATCTCTTTTAGGCGTCAATTATGTTATCGACAATTAATTATTCGATTTACGGTGATCTATTTACTTTAGTTTATCGAAATATTAGCTTTAAGTTAACTCAATTTAACAAGCAAAAGAAAGTGAATATTTTATTAAATTTCAGAAATCAAGTGCTTAAGGAATATCGAGTTCAAGAGATTTATGAAGTTCATAAGTTAGATCATTTTCATTAATTTGATTTGTAATGACTTGAATTATTCTCTTGTTGATATTTTAACTAAAATCCGATCAGTCTTTTTTGACATAAATACATCTTGTGAGAATCGCCTTGATGTAATCATTAAAACACAAGTTTATATAGAGTAGAATGGCCTCAATAATTTTTACTACTGTTGTTTTGTTTGATCCAATCCAGTATTTGAAAAAATCGTGAAATCCTGCAGTTTTTGGAGATTTCTGAAATACTACGTTATTTATATGTGCTTGTGAATGTGTTGATCATTAACCTCAGATATTCAAGTACTAATTAGACAGAAGTTTCTGAGGTTTATCTATTACCATCTTCTGATAAACATCTGAGATAAACGTGCGCAAGTCTGTATTTCCAGTCAGTCCCCAAAAATTAGACGGAAAATAAGTCACTATTATCAGTATAATAAGATTTCTTCAGTTAATAAGGGTACATTATTTTAGATTGAGATATCTTAAATATCCCTTTGCACTTCAGGATATAATTTAAACTAGTTAAAGAATCGAATTATTCTATAAAACGTTCCTAAACTTTAGATCCGGTCCTTGGTTTATAACAGTAGCGGCATAATTTAGTTTATCTGATTTTATATATCTAACTGAATAATGAAAAACTTATTACCTACTGTGATTTTTATCTTCCCAGGCTTCGTCGATACTAGTGTAGTTTTAATCATTTTTGTTGGATAT